CTTTGTGTTATCCTTACCAGATTTTGGTATCAGGGTAATGTTGGCTTCATAAGATGAGATAGGAAATATTGTCTCTTATTCAGTTTTTGTGGAAGTGTTTGAGTAGGACAGGTATTATGTCCTCTATCAATGTTTCGTAGAATTCACTAGAGAAGCCATCTGGTCCTGAACTTTTGCTTCTGGGAAGGTTTCAGATGACCGATTCAATTTCCTTACTGTTGATCGGTCTATTTAGATTTTCCAATTCTTTGTAATTCAACCTAGGAAGGCTATATGCATCTAATAACATGTTCATTTCTTCTAGATTATTGAATTTGGTGGCGTATAGTCCTTCACAGTATTCTTTGATGATCTTTTTTATTTCTGTGGCATCTGTGGTAACTTCCCGTTTTTCATATCTGATTTTATTTGTGTCTTTTTTTCTTATCTTAGTGAATCTAGCCAAGGGTTTGTCAAATTTATTAATCTTTCCAAAGAACTAGCTCTTTATAGCATTAATTTTTTCTATGATCTTATTCTCTGTTTCATTTAGCTCTGCTCTGATTTTTATTATTTCCTTCCTTCTGCTGACTTTGAGTTTCATTTGTTCTTCTTTTTCTAGTTCTTTAAGGTATAAAGTGAGGTTATTTATCTGGGACTTTTCTTCTTTCTTGAGATAGGCCTGTAATGATATAAATTTTCCTCTTAAAACTTCTTTTACTGCATCCAAAAATTATGGTAGGTTGCATTTTCATTCTCATTTGTTTCTATGTGTTTTTTTAATCTCTCCTCTTATTTCTTCTTTGACCCAGTCATTTTTTAAAAGTATGTTGTTTAATCGCCACATGTTTGTGGTTTTTCCTGCTTTATTTTTGCAATTGAAATCCAATTTTAAAGCCTTGTGATTGCCATTAAGTTTATTTAAAAGGACGTTTCAATTTATAGTAGTCCATTTTCTTCAGCATGCTTTTTTCCTCCATTCCCTTGTGCCAGTTCAGATGTTTACTCTCTCTCCTTATATGTTTTTTTTTTGGCACAAATTATTCGTATTTATGATGTGAGTTGATTTCCGCCTTGCAGTAGCCATTTGTCTTTTTTTTCCTCTCTCTCTCTCTGTTTTTAAGTGTTTTTTTTTCTTCTTTACCCTGTATATTATGTTTATATGTAAGTTTCCTATTTGGTGTAGAGGTTGCCATTTCTGGTTCTGTCTGTCTGTTCGTAATACTACTCATATTTTGTATTTTTTGCTTTCTTGTTTCAGGTCCAACAGTCTCCTTCAGCATTTCTTGTACTTTAGGTCATGTGTTAGAAAATTTGTTCAGCTTCTCCTTCTTTATCTTCTTCTTTATCTTCTTCTTCTTCTTCTTCTTCTTTTTTTATCTTTCAACAAGATTAACCAATTTTAATGTTGTTATTTTTAAAGTTTATTGGGGTGACAGTTGTTAGCAAAGTTACATATATTTCAGGGTACAATTCTGTAATACATCTTCTGTATATCACATTGTGTGTTCACCACCCAGAGTAAGATTTCTTTCCATCACCATGTATTTGATCCCCTTTACCTTCATCTACTACCCCCCTCCCCCCTTACCCTCTCATAACCACTATACTATTCTCTATGTATAAGTTTTGTTTCTTCATTTGTTTTTCTTGTTCTTTTGTTGTTTTCAGTTTTATATACCACATATCAGCTTGCAGCTTTATTGACGGGAGCAAGGCCTGGAAACAACCAAAGTATCCTTCAATAGATGATTGGATAAAGAAGTTTTGGTTTATATACACAGTGGAATACTATTCTGCCATAAGAAAAGATGAAATAATGCCATTTGCGACAATATGGATGGATCTTGTGATTATAATGCCCTCAGCTTCTGTATGTCTGGAAAGGTCTTTATTCCTCCTTCATATCTAAAGGATATCTTTGCTGGATATATTATACTTGGCTCATAATTTCTCTCTTTCAATAGTTTGAATATTTGATTCTACTTCTTTCTGGCTTGTAGGACCCATGGAGCAGTCCCTGAGCAGGATTGATCAATGTGAGGAAATGAGAAATGAAAGAATGGCATAGACACCAAAGTTGGGATTAGGAGGGTCACTGACTGTGGATGGCAATCAGGACAAATTTTATTAAAAGACATAGTGCTTATATAGAGAGCAATTTCCCCTTTTACCAGGAATAAATCTTATCTAAGCATAGGAGTTTTGTTAGGGGGTTTTTGGGGAAGGAGGAACCGATGTTCATGACTTAGGGGTTTGGGGGTGAGATAATGTCTTGGCAACAGGTTACATGATCATACAGCATAAACTAATAATATATTTTAAGCAAAGTGAAACTTAAGGCAAATAACAACTGTCAGCAAGTCCATGATGGAAAAGTCCCAAGAGTTCATAAGTCCATGGTAGGAAGTCTCGAAGTTCATAAGTCCATAGACAATAACATCTGAGGGTCTGGTGGTTGTGGTTTAGAAGCTTCTGCTTTTCCAAAGCACAGGAGGTGAGCTAGGCATTGTTGGGTTACTGATTTTATCAATTCCATTTTTTGCTGTTCAGCTAATGAGCAGCTTTACAGTTTTTTTCTCAGCACACAGGACTTGGGGGTCTTGAACCACTTGTCATTCTCCACCTGCAGTCAACCTAGGGTCTTAGTACTCTGAGACGGCTCCCAACAGGGTTTCCTTTGTAGGATACTGTCTTCTTTTTCCTGGCTTCCTTGAGGATTCTTTTTTTTCTTTAATTTTTGAGAGGTTCGAATCAATTGTGCCTTGAAGAAAGCCTGTGGGAATTAAGGTAATTAGGTGTTCCATTTTCTTTTTGGATTCAAGGATCCAGTTCTTTGCCCAAGTCTGGAAAGTACTCATCAACTATTTGTTTGAATATACTGTCTGTTCCCTTCTCCCTTTCTTCTCCTTCTGGTATGCCCATTTTTCATTCCTATTTTTTTTTAGCTGAGCCATCCTGCCACCTGTTGGCAGGTCAATGGAAGCTCAGCTCAGGCAAGACTTGAACTGCTGTTGTTCAGAGCTCACACTCTTGAGCAAGCTCTGCACCAACTGAGCCACTTGGCTGACCCCTACCCATTTTTCTTATGTTGCTCTTTCTGATGGAGTCAGGAAGTTCTTGTAGAGTTCTTTCATTTCTTTTAACTCTCAAGTCTCTCTCTTCTTCCATCTGTGTCATTTCCAGATTTCTATCTTTGATGTCATTGATTCTTTCATCCATCTGGTCAACTTTATTACCTAAACTGTCTATTTCATTGTTCACTTCTTTTACTGAGTTCTTAACCACCAGAAATTCTATTTGGTTCTTTTTATTTTTTCTTATGTTTTAGTTTTCAACAAATAAATTTATTTTTGTATAAAGAAATACAGGAAGCAGGCAGACCAGATGTGTTATGGCTGTTCCGTAAAATCAGCTGAGGTGTACATTTGTTGTGTTTCTGCTCTATCATTCTTAATATCCATGCTCAATGTTCCCATAAAACTGCCAGAGTTGCAGATTAAATGTCCATATTGTAGGCAGGAGGTAAAACAGCAGTAGAGAAAAAAGAATTTCTTAAATGTCCTACTCATACAAACACCACATCTATTTTGTTGATTGGCAAGGAAGGTTGACATAGGCTTTCAACCAAGAATTCTGTTATTAAAAGAAAAGAAATGGATATTCGGTAGAGAAATAACAGTCTCTGATGCAGACTCTCAGTTTTTTCATTGCAAAATAGCCTGTGATGTCAGTTTTTATTTTTAGGTTAATTAAAAGCTGTAAATCCAAGTTTTAAAAAAGTTCCTAGTAGAAAGGTTTATTTTGGCTATGCATTTTTTTATTTCTAAATAATATTATTGAATTGTGGTACGAGATAGTAGAAAATATGAGTTTTGGTGCTTTGTTATAATTCACACCTTTCCAACAATCCACTGTAAATCTGCAGTGTTTTTTTTTTTAACAGTTTGAATTTTCTCTTGTAGCATATGGGATGAAATCTGAATGAAGTTTTCTCACACTTATTACGGTATAAAGTGACCCCCACTCAAATAATTGGAGTTAAGCGTTATTTTTTAAAAAGATTTTATTGGTGAATTGGGGGAGTGTAACAGCATTGGGGAATCAGAGAAAGGAACAGACAAGTTGCCGTCCTTTTGCTCTTCAGTCTATTGTCAAGGATGTCACTTCACTGGCCTATGTTGGTATTATCATTGTGCTCTTCCTGGGTGAGGCAGTAGCTCTCTGGGCATTGTATGGCCACTCACGGCGGCTCATGGCAGCTCACAAAAGCTCATGTCCGCTTCCAGCCAGCCCCACTGCAGCCTACACTGTCGCCGGTGACTCGCTGCAGCCTAGCTCCAGGTCAAGCTGTTGTTCACCATCTTAGCTGTAGAGGGCGCAGCGTCACTGGCCCTTATATGTGGGATTTGAATCGGGGCCCTGCTCCTCAGAGCTGGCATCCTAAGCCAACTCCTAACCAACATGCCACTCGGCCGGCTCTGGAGTTAAGTGTTAATGAAAGATTTTTCAATATTCATATACTTATAAGTGTCCTCTCATGCAAATTCTCTAATACTATAATGATAGCCAATATTTGTGATGTGCTATGTTCAAGGCACTGCTCTAAGAGCTTCATATGTAATAACTCACATAGTGTTTCCAAGAATCTTATAGAGTATTATTCTTATGTTTTCTTGCAAACAATTAAATGAAAGTAGAGGTTATCTGTCATGAGAAATGTCATAAAGAAAAGGAACTGGTAGTCAACATAATGTTGGAAAAGATGTGCTATGGCTAAAGGCCTTCCTATATTTACTACATTAACAAATTACTGTCTATTAAAATTTCCAAAAGTTTAACAGGTTTCTAGTAATAGGTTTTTCTATATGGATTACATTATCTTTCCCCACATAAATTCATTGATACTAACTAAACTATATGAAGCAAGTGTGCTCCCATATTCACATTTTAAGAATTCTTTAATGATAATGGGTTGACCAGAGAAGGCTCTCTATATTAATCACAAAGAATTAGATAATTCATATAAAAATTTGTGAGCCATGAATAAAGTTTATCCTGCATTCCTTATATTCTAAAGATTTCTCATGTATACGAATTTTCTGATGTTGAGTTAGTTGTAAACCACGAGGAAAGGCTTTCCCACATTCCTTACACTGATATGGTTTCTCACCAGTATGAATTCTCTGATGTCGAGAAAGATGTGAGATCTTTGTAAAGGCTTTTCTACATTCTTTGCATTCATAGGGCTTCTCACCAGTATGGATTCTGTGATGTAGAGTAAGTTGAAAACCATGACTAAATGCTTTTCCACATTCCTTGCATTCATAGGGTTTTTCTCCAGTGTGAATTCGCTGATGTTGAGTAAGTTGTGAACCACGAATAAAGGGTTTCCCACATTCCTTACACTGATAAGGTTTCTCACCTGTATGGAGCCTCTCATGCTGTATAAGTAGTAAGCCACGAGAAAAGGCCTTCCCACATTCATTACATACATAGGGTTTCTCACCAGTATGACGTCTCTGATGTTGAGAAAGATATGACCCCTGAGTAAAGGCCATTCTACACTCTTTACTTTCATAGGGTTTCTCATCAGTATGAATTCTTTCATGTTGATTAAGTTCTGAGCCATGACTAAAGGTCTTTCTATATTCTTTACATTCATAGGGTTTCTCACCAGTATCCTGTGATGCTGAGTAAGGAGTGAGCCACGATTAAAGGCTTTTCCGCATTCTTTACATTGTTAGAGTTTCTCATTGGTATGAATTCTCTGGTATTGAGTAAGTTGTGAGCCACGGATAAAGGCCTTCCCACATTCTTCACATTTATATGGTTTTTCAGCAGTATGAATCCTCTGATGTTGCATAAGTAATAAGCCATGAATACTTTCCACATTCTTTACATTCATATGGCTTTTCCCCATTATGAATTTTCTGATGTTGAGAAAGTTGTGAGCCACAAATAAAAGCTTTCCCACATTCCTTACATTCATAGGGTTTTTCACCAGTATGAATTCTCTTATGTAGAATAAGCTGTGAGAGCTGAGTAAAGACCTTTCTACGTTCTTTACAGTCACAGAGTTTCTCACCAGTATGAAGTCTCTGGTGTAGAGTAAGTTGTAAGTTCTGAGTAAGGGCCTTTCCACATTCTTTACATTCATAAGGTTTTTTATCAGTATGGACTTTTTGATGCCGGGTGAGTTGTGAACAACGAATAAAAGCTTTACCACATTTTTTACATTTATACGGTTTTTCACCAGTATGAATTCCATGATGTAAAATAAGTTGTGAGCTCTGAGTAGATGTCTTCCCACATTTCTTGCATGCATAGGGTTTCTCACCAGTATGAAGTCTCTGATGAAGACTGAGCTGTGAATCACGACTAAAGGCCTCCCCGCATTGCTTACATTCATAGGGTTTTTCTGCAGTATGAATACTCTGATGTTGAGTTAGGTGTGAGGCTCGTCTAAAGGCCTTCCCACATTCCTTACATTTATAGGGTTTCTCAGTAGAATAATATCTGGGATATTGAGATAAGTAAGTATGCTGGTTCAAAATGGACATTTTTTCATATATAATCATTCCTTGCCTGAAATATTCTTTCTGATTTTCCAACATGCTTCTGACTTCCAAATAATCTCTGGAACTGCACTCCTTAAGATCATAGTTTTCAAGCCTGTCACTCATTTCCCATTGCGATAATTCTGTTTCATAAGTGTCCTTTTTTGGAGATAAGTCCTTATTTGAATACCTTGAAGGCAAATCAGTCCAGAGATACTTTGCTGGGAGGAGGAGTCCCATGATAGCTGGCAGTAGAAATTAAGTAAGGCCTCTCTTTGCTCAACTTGGTGAGGCTGAGGGTGGCTAGAGAACCAGTGGAGCCAGCACGCAAACTCCCTCACTGGGAGCACTCACCCAGTCCCTGGTAAAGGGAGTAGCTGTGTGAGCAGGAAACAGGAGCCTGTGGGGAAGGACTGAACTGAGCACCTTTGATGGTGGAGCTGGAGGTTTTAGGACCATTGCTCCCCTAATGTGGAGCTTGCACATGAGTAGTGTACAAAAGGGTGCCATTTTCTTAGGGTTGGGCCCTCCCACAGAGGGTCAGATTCGGGACCACAATTGCTTTGGCGGAATTGGTGCAGGCGTGCATGTGTGCGTGTGTGCGCATGCTGCCTTGGGTCCCCACCCTCCACACTGCTTGTGCTGCATAGCCAGGGAAATGTCTGGTGGGTGCACTCAGGCTCTAATAAGCTGCTCATTGAGATGTGGGAGTCTATTTGGCTCTTTTTAAAAATTTCAATCTCTTTGGTAAAATGTTCCTTTTGTTCTTTGATTGTGTTTCTGAGTTCATTAAACTGTCTGTGTTATCTTGCATCTTTTTGAGTTTTTTTCAAAACTACAATCTTGATTCTCTGTCATTTAAGTCACATATTTCTACATCTTTAAGCTCATTTTCTAGAGACTTTTCATTTTTTTTCTTAGCTGCCTTGTTACCTTGGTTATTTATGGCAATTAATGAATTATTATTTCTCTTTTAGGTATCTACAGGAGTGAGTTCTGCAACAGGTTGATATGCGGAGGTCTTTCCCCTGCTTTCCAGTAGGTGTTGGTAGAGTGTTTTATTTTCTCTCCAACTGCAGCCATTTATTCTCTCCCATGCCATAGTGTTATATTTTCTCTGCACTGTTCTGGCTTCTCACACAATAGGTGGGGGTTCCCCTGGAAGGTGGGTTCTCCTCTGTGAGCAGGTCACCTGGGTCTCAGGGCACTGACTCCGTGGGGGGATGCGGAGAGCTTCTGAAGTTCCAAAGCTCTTACTGCATCAGTTTCAGGGCCAGTGTGTTTCAGTGGCTCTGTTTACCCCTGCAGGGATTTGCTCAGATAGGTGGGGACAGGGGTAGGGTGGGTTGTGAGAGGTGGCTCTGAGCATTGGTGGCAATCACCCTCATAGCCAGTCCTGCACCCAAGGTTCCCTTCCCTTCTCCAGAACTATTTGGTTTATGAGTCCATAGCTGTGGGCCACCGTTCTCAGAACTGCAAATATTCTGTTCTTTTGATCTGGCACTGCTGCTGTTCAGCACCTAGCACTGGGCATGTGGGGATAGTGCAATCTCTGGGAGTGTAGGGAGGGGTAGGCTAGGTTCCGTGCCTATGCCTTCCATCATCTCCTTGGCAGTGAGGGCTTACACTGCCATTTTCACCCTTCTTCCCTCAGTCTTTGTTCTGAGGTCTGTGCCATGACAGTGGGGTTCAGCTGTTTTATATGTTGATCTCTTCAGCAGGACTGTGGGCCATAAAGGGAGCAATAGCAGTTCGAATTCTTCCCTTTACTGTGACTGTGGTAGTTCTGCTATGCAGGGAGCTTGAAGCTCTTAGCTCTGGTCTGTGTCTGTCCTGCCCACTTGGCCTGTGTCTCTGCACTTCCCATTTCCCTTCTCCCCTGCTCACCCTATTTGCTCATCTTTAGATGATTTCAATTGTGCATCTCTTAGTCTTGCCTATCTACTTCCTAAGGAGTTTTTTTGTGGAATTATATCTGTTCAATTTGTTGTAACTTGCAGGGAAGGTTTCAAGAGGCTCACCTCATGCCACCATTTCTATGAAGTCATTCATTTTCCTTTTTTGTAATGTTTTTGTCTGGTTTTGACACCAGAATAATTCTGGCATCGTAGAATGAGCTGTGAGCATTCCCTTCTCTTGAATTTTTTTGAATAGTTTGAGAAGAATAAGTGTTAATTCTTTTTTAGAATGATTGGTAAAATTTCCGTGGGAAGCCACCTGGTCCAGGACTTTTATTCGTTGGGAACCTGTTGATTACGAATTTGATTTTTTCCCACCTCTTCTTTATCTATTCACCCATCAACAGACACCCAGGCTGCCTCTACATCTTGGCCATTGTAAACGAAGCTGCTAAGTGTATATGATGCACATTTCCCCTTGAAGCAGTGTTTTGGTTTTCTTCAGAGAGCTAGAAGTAGGATTACTGGGTTATTTGTCTCCTATTATAGTCTTTGTTTTAAAGTCTATTTTGTCTGGTATAAGTATTGCTTATACCGGCTTTTTGTTTTGTTTTGTTTTCATTTTCATAAAATATCTTTTTCCATTTCTTTACTTTCAGTCTGTTTCTTTCTATTTGAAGTGAGTCTCTTGTAGGCAGCATACGTATCTTGTTTTCTTAGCCATTCAGCCACCCTCTCTTTCTCTTTTCTAAATTAATGTTAATTGGGGTGACAGTCACCGTCTCTTTTGTTTGGAGCATTTAATCCATTTTATTGAAAGCAATTGTTGATCAATATATAGTTATCGCCATTTTATTGTTTTTGATTTTTTTTATCTTAAAGAAGTCCCTGTAACATGAAGATACATTTATCCAAAGAGGGCATACAGATGGCCAATAAACATGAAAAGTTGCTCAACCTCACTAATCATTAGAGAAATGCAAATAAAAACCACAATGACATAACACCTCACTCCTGTCAGAATGGCTATCATCAATAAATCAACAAAAAACTAGTGTTGGTAAGGATGGGGAGAAAAGGGGACCCTTGTGCACTATTGGTGGGAATAAAAAAATTGATGCAGCGACTGTAGAAAACAGTATGGAGATTCCTTTAAAAATTAAAAATAAAACTACCTTATGACCCAGGAATTCCACTTTTGGGTATTTATCGAAAGAAATCCAAAACACTAATTCAAAAAAATATATATAACCCCTATGTTTATTGCAGCACTATTTACAATAGCCAAGATATAGAAACAACCAAAATCCTCATCAATAGATGACTGGATAAAGAAATTGTGGTCCATTTATACAATGAAGTATGACTGCCATAAAAAAGAATGAAATCATACCATTTGCAACAACTTGGGTGGACCTAGAGAATAGTATGCTAGGTGAAATAAGTCAGATATAGAAAGACAAATACCATATGATCTCACTTATATGTGGAATCTAAAGAACAGAATAAATGAAGAAACAAAACAGAAATAAACTCATAGATACAGAGAAAAAACATGATGTTGTTAGAAAGGAGGGGGTGTTGATCAATGAGGGAGAAGGTGAAGGGATTAGAAAATACAAATTGGTAGCCACAAAATTGTCATGGGGATGTGAAATACAGTATGGGGAATAAAATCAATAAAGTTGTAAAGACTACGTAGGGTGCCAGATGGGTACTGGATTTATCAGCGGGTTCACTTCATAGATTGTGTAGATGCCTGACCACTGCACTTTATGTCTGATGCTGAAGTAGAATAATATTGAATGTCAACTATAATTTTATATATATATATATATAAATTATTTAAGCATAAGGAATATAGTCAATGGTATTGTAATAGTTATGTACAAGGAGGTCAGGTCAGATGGGTAGTAGACTTGGTACGTTTATCACTTTGTGAGGGTTGTGAATGACTAATCACGTTGTTTTGCACTCCTGAAACTAACATGAAAGAATAAAAATTTTTAAAAAGTCCCTCGAACATTTCTTGGTCTCTTATTCTATAGGATTCTCCTCTTTTTTGTTGTTTGCCATTTGCAAAAAAAATGAAAACCTGTGCTCTTAACCACATAATATGACATCTCATGTCAATTTTAAGGGAAGAATGCCATTCTCCCAAACATATTTCTTGTATTTAAAATTGACTCCCTATTTTCCTTTTGAATAGAAGGTAATCAAACACCAAAAATGGATCTTAGAAATATTTCCGTGTTCATTTAAAACTCTAAACAATCAAAAGTCACTTTGTTTTGTAGGTGTTTATTATGTGATATAGCTTAATGTCAGAAGAAAACCCAGCTCTCAAAAAATAGCTCCTGTCCCACCTCCCATCAGGCCTGAAATACCATCAGTAAAGATGTCCCTCAAGCCTTGAGCTTTTTATTTTAATAAGCACTGATTTTATTTTCTATTTCAATTCCTTTTTTTTTCAGTTACAGTTGATATTTAGCATTATTTTGTATTAGTTTCAGGTGTATAGCATAGTGGTTAGATGTTTATATAATTTATTCAGTGATCCTCCAAGTAGTCTAGTATCTACCTGGCACTACTTGTAACTATTATAATATTATTGACTATATTCTCTATGCTGTACTTTATATCCCTGTGACTATTTTGTAACTACCGACTTGTATATCTTAATCCCTTCATCTTTTTCACCCAGGTTTACAACCCCTCTCCCCTCTGGCAAGACCTGGTGTCTTTAAGCATCCTAAGTAAGCCTCGCTACTTAATAACACTTTCAAAAGACATGCTCTGACAGATTAGATTGGATGGTGTGGTACAAGGAACAGAGGAGAAGCCTGAGGAGAACTAGCCCAGATATCACTATGAAGTAAAGTAAAATGAAGTGAAGAAAATTGAAGTTACCAGACTGTGGGTGAGGGGAGGGGAAACCTAGGAAACCAGATACGTATTTATGAGAGCACCTACTGTGGGGAAAGGTAAGTGATCTACTTTACAGTTTCGCTGTTGGCTTGTCTTAATTATGAGTTTGGATGATATTAAAATCATTTAAGAAATGGTATGATGGCATGATACATTGGGAAGGGTGACGTTCTCATCAGTGGCTAAATGAAGGCACTTGAGGGCTGTGCTGACCAGCAGTGGGCAACTGCGCTGGCAGGGTGGGCTCAGCTGAGAACCACATATTTGCACTCCAAGGTGTCAGTTCTGATGCTAGAGCTCTTGTTTCCCATCTAG